GCCTTTTAGCTAAAAGTTTTAATATATTCAGGTTATGGCTAATCAGTTGAATACACCACACAAATGTTCTAGATTTCACTATTAATCACAATTCAAATATATTGATGATGTTATTATCAGAAGGGGTTTTGTGGAGATTTCAGTATTTTGATTGTTGAAAGCATGAGTCAATTGAAGCTAGACCACCAAGGAAAACGTGGAAGCACTGGACGGCAACTGAGGAGTCCCACAATAGGACGAAACGGCCGTCCAGTGCTTCCAGGTTTTCTCTGGTGGTCTAGCTTCAATTGACTGATGCTTTCAACAATGAAAATATTGATGATGACCAATTTTTTTTTCAAAATCCAAATTAACTATTTGCAAGTTCCCTAACTGATTTACTTCGACAGTTTATTGACACTATGTAGCCGTAATTACTATTTATTTGGGGAAACCAGTTCCCTACACACTTATCTTTCACTAATATAGTTGACTATGTTACGTACTAGATCATAGTAGTAACTAAATTCCAAATTCGATTATAACACCACCCAAAGGTTTAGTTTATTCTTTAATTTGTCAGATCGTAAAAATATTTACATTGGATGGTACTATTAAAATAAAATATCAACCTATTCATACCACCAACTGACTAAGAAAAGGGCACTTAAGTAAGTTAGAAACAAATATCATAAAAACCAGACGATTCACTATCATTGTGTCATACAGTTTGTAGCATAACATTGAAAATACGACCGTGATGGTGTATAAGTTACTTAACAGTGACCTTAAACAAAGTACATACTATAAGTGTCATTATTATTATGAAAACAGAGAGTGCTGTATATAGATTGTCTGATCAAATGTTAAGTTATTTGTTACCGGAATTCTACCATTTAATATAAGACACAATGACATATAACTTATTTTACAAACGCGTGCATTAGCCTTTATACATTATCCATTCGATTATTTCTTTCCAACTACGTCTAAACTATTTGAATACTGAAATATTAATAAAAGTACCTTTTTAAAGAAGTCCGAATGGAACAGTCCTAATGTGGTGTATGCTACTTACGCCGACAGATATAAGCAGTATGTAACACCAATTAGAATTGGAATGCCTGACAACAGGAGATTGAAAAGATCGAATCGAAGAGAATGGGAACAGAGAATAATTGTTATGGTGATGAAGTTTGAGACAGTTGATGGAGGATTTACAAATGGAGCATTGAACGTATAGTTTTCACATTTTACAATAGAACTCTGTGATTTAGTATTAAACAATAGATTTGTTTTCCCCATCTGAATTCTCCTTCACTACACTATCCCAGATCATGAATAAAAGTCAATGAATGAGGAGCAATTTTACACATAACAAATAAATATTAAGGGCAAAAAGCTTGACTACAAATGATGGAGAATACTTTTGGCTGAGAATGCGGAGATTGTTCTTCACAACTACTGGAGACCAAAGGGACAATAGGCAACTTCTTTCATCTTAGTATAGGACCCCTCAGTAGAGATAAAACACAGAACCTTTAATTCCCGTAAGAATAGAAATACTTCCAGACCACTTGTTATTGCATAGTCTACGTTCCTTATTCTAGTCAATGAGAAATCACTATTTATTGTCCTTAATGACATACCTATCTCATTTTCGACATTGGTGTAGTAAAGGTATCCCGCTCATCATGAGGCCTGAAAGTCATGCGTTTGATCCTTGGATTGATGATGATGTACATTAGAAGTTGGACAAGTAATGTTAATATTAATTCCCATTTTTTATTTATTCAAACACATAAATATTGGTACAAAGGGGGCACCAGATATATATGTACCACACAAATCACATTTGATTTGTATGAGGGCTGTGATGCTGCCCAGATACAGCCCAAACTAAAGCAGGTGGTTTTCTTAGGGGACCACACCAGGAGCCTTTGACCTACAGGTCTGATCCACAAGGCAGTGGAGCATCGTGAGGAGATGCAATCCCATGGTAGATGGTGACCAACGATTGGTTCAGACGCCATTTATTCCCTCAGGATCCTGGAGCCCTTGTGCACCATCGGTTTTGAATCAGGGTTTTCCAACTGCCCTAGGTGGACTTTCCGTTTCCACCATCCCGGTTAAAGCGCCGGACATTGACTTTTCGTCCTCTGAATTTCGTAAACAACACTCCCGCCACGAGAAGGCTGAACTTAGATTAATTCTCCGGAAAATGTTTGCAAAGCATTTTTACGTTCACATTAACTTGTCTACAAAACTGTCGTCGATGATGTAACATAATCTTTTTCTAACTACCTTGTCTTAATAAACCATGTTCTATGTATCGATAAACAAGCAAAAAATTAAGATGAATCCCCGTCTATCAGATTAATCCCATATCTTAAATATATTGATCAACATTTAAAACATTATTCCAAGCCCAATTTATCAATGTATACAAACAAACAAAAACGTGTTAACGGATCAAATGCCCAATAAGTCAATAACAAACAAGGTAGTCACTAGGAATGCAAAGATAAAATGAAAAGAACAGAATCTTTGAAGAATCTAATCAAAGACAATGTCATTAACAGAATGAATTGGTTAAGCACTTGTAAAATCATTTGAAATTATAACTTTCTTCTGGGTGAAGTAAGCATCGACAATGTTTCTACCAGAATAATCCATTGAAAGCTTCATCAATGAAGTTAAAGAACACACGATCAAATCAAAATGATCATAATACATCAAGAAATCTATCATTCCATACAAAATAAACAACAATCAAGTTCATATATCTATATATATATATATACAAAACGATGAATAATCCTGTTCAATTCATTAACATATACACCATTTGCATATATATACTACATCACAATACAAACAAAGGGGAAACATCTAACAGAATAACAAATTGTCGAAAACTTTAAAATTACAAATGTAATGTAGTGACTAACACATTACGCCAACAAAATGGAGACAGATATGAAAAGAATGAACAAAAATTGGATAGAACTAGAAAGGAAGGGTGAGAACAGAGTGAGTTAGAGAATGCTGGTCTGTGGCCTATGCTCCATTGGGAGTAACAGGCTTAAGTAAAAAATATAGTAACCATATCAAACTAGTCAATCAGTCAGCTACAATATCCTCACATATGTTGCCACACCTCCTTAACACAACAAGATGAACATCATATTCATAAAAGTAGTTACTTCAAAACAGGGAGAACAATGACTCAAATTATGTCATAACATTGGTACAACACATTAGGATTGTGTTTTGTTTTATTGTTTAAAATAAATGAAATAATAAATTAATCAAATAAATAAATATCTTGTTCCTTTTTTTAAAAAGAAACGTGCCACAACAGTATCGAATAAATATTTCCCCCCCCCTCCCTCTTCAAAAACAGAAATTAGTTTCCTATTACTGTTGGTACATAATTATGTAACTAACTAGGGAAAACAGTTTAAGGATTCGAATAGAAAATAATGAGACACAGCAACAACAACAAACCCTCCGTTTATAAAGGAAAAGGAAACATCTCATCATTAGTTATAATCTTTTAAGGCGCTTCTTTATCATCACCTACACACATATACATAAAGAAAGAAAGGGGAATCGACAAACACTTAAGATAAACTACAATTTAAAGTTTTATGATGATTTTTTTGGTGGTTGTTTAAAATAACAAATAAATGGATCATTATCACAGGGATCAAGTTTAAACCATCATTATATTTATATATATAACTATTAAATGTTCAAGAAGAAGAAAAAAGAAAAACAAAAAGAAAAACCGAAGCCAACCACATAAAATAGAAGATAAACCAGAGGGGTACAACATTTAAACTTATACATATGTCTATATACATCCATATAAAGACTAATAAAAAGATATATAATGTAAAAGATTTATAAAATTCTTTAAATGATAACAAGCATAGTTATTGTTATTACCATTGTTATACACAACAACAAAATAAGAAGAAAAAATAACATAGAAATTAGTTTATAAAGAAATAAAAAGGGCAAACAAACAAAACACAAATTGAATAGAAACAAACGTTGTAGCTAACTGACTTACTGACTGAATAATAATGATCATCATTATCTTGGCAAATATTATTATTATAGATGAAAGAATGAGCAACAGCGACGACGACAACAAGAAAAAAGAGACTAAATTACAAAAAAAAAATCAATCATATGAATAAAGAAATAAAAAGAAGAAAACATAAAACTATGATGAATATTAGTAAATAGATAAATATTTATTTATTCATTACTGTAAATATATTCGCTGACCAGACACTATCAGCAACAAGTTACTATGGGACATAACAAACCAGATTCCATCCAGTGGAGGAAGAAGCGCTGGAATTGGATAGGACACACTTTAAGGAAATCACCCAACTGCATCACAAGACAAGCCCTCACATGGAATCCTGAAAGCCAAAGAACACAGTACGCCGAGAAATGGAGACAGACATGAAAAGAATGAACAAAAACTGGATAGAACTAGAAAAGACGGCCCAGGACAGAGTGGGTTGGAGAATGCTGGTCGGCGGCCTATGCTCCATTGGGAGTGACAGGCGTAAGTAAGTACATATGAACAATGAATATTTCAATTAAAAAGTAAAGCCTTAAATAAATAATAGAAATTGAGCATTCATTTTGTATTGTATGTATATATGTATACATGATAATCAATCCATTTCTATAGTGAAATAAATGAAGAAATAATAGTGCTTGTGATGAATTATTATGCAATAAAGACAATACTACTAATAATAGTAACAATTGGTAATAGAAATAATAATCTATACATTCTTGGTTAATTATAATCACATATAGTTGAAGTTTAATTCATCAATAGCATAGTAAACAAATGCACAAAACGAATAAAGCAAAAAGTAGGAATTAGATGGAAGGCAGATTGTGATAGAAACATATCTCAGTTACATATACACATATATCACAGATAATTGGAACATGTCAATGATCAATATTATATTAATTGAGTATTAGTTGACATTTGCGTAGGAATCATTTGCTAATGATTGATTAAACTCGGGAGATACTACAACTTCTGGAGATGATGTAACCAGGTTAGTAGTATTATTTGTTGTTCGAGGTGAACCACACGTCTCTGTCGGTGTAATTGTATTTTCTGATGATAGCGGAATTTGTGTTCTTGGTGCCGTTACTGTTGTTGTAGTCAGTGAAGTATCAGGTTCTAAATTTAAAAGGCATGTAGGACAACTAAATGAACGCATAAGCCATTCATCAATACATATACGATGATAAGTATGTAGACAGGGCAGGTAACGTACTTCATCGCCAAGTTTTAAATCATTCATACATATAATACACCTAAAATAGTAATTAATTACACAATGTATATATATATATAATGTACTTAAAGCAATATAAAATTAGATTCAATACAAGTTAAATCCGGCGGCACAGGACTCCTAAACCAAAATGCACATGATAATTATTGATCTACTGCTGCAAATGTTCGATGATGGCTGGAATTCAGTTGCAACACATCACACCAGTCATTCATTTATATGTGCATCCATTTAAGTTCCCATACCATATAAACACAGAGAGATGAGATTATCAAGACAACTGTCAGAGTAATAGCAGCAGCTTACTATGTTGTAGTTTTTTTCTAAATCTTGTGTCTTAATGTTTATTAATTTTACCGCTTTACTTCTTTTCCAACTTTTATGTTTAGCTTTTAATTATTATTGATACTGTTATTACGACCCCTTTGCCTCTCATTGCATTAATTGCTTCTCTTGTTGTGTTGCTATTAAAAGTGGGAGCGTAAAACAAAGAAAACTTGTAGTGGTCAGGCTTATTCACTGTAACCCAGTTGTCACACTGGCTAAAACACTAGTTCCTTTAAATTACAAACACGCTAGGCATGATAGTTGTAAAATATAAGTAGCGACGACAAGGTCTGATGGCGAATTTGTACTACAGACTGTACAAGAGGATGACGACAGTAAGGGCCTTTAGACAAGGTGTCCGCACCAAAAGTAGTCCGCCTGGACTTGTTCCACAATTTTTTTTCGATAGACGTGAGGCCTTAAGAGCATGGAGCTGACACCAAAAATTATTTGCAAAAAGTCTAAGTGGTATTGGGCTTATGCAGTTAATCACCTGGCCATGTAGTTGCGCTTTCAAGTCGTCAAGACTACTGCTAATCCAGTTCGGTTTTCTGCCCCCGTGACAATAATTGTATACCCGCATTGAGAAAGCGGGAAGTGTCAAAAGCTCTTATACTTCTAAAGGCACTTGATATGGATAATAAAACAAGAAGCGAAATAAACACACATAAATTTTCTTACTCTCTTAATTTCTCTTTATTCACAGGTATATAATTCGTTAAGGGAAGAAATTGAAGCATGTGAATACGTTTAACAATTTCTATTTGTTCCTCCTCTGTCAGATCGGATGCAAGAATAGGCAAGCCTGGACTTATATGATAAGTAGGTACCTGATGCTGTTGGTTTCAATGGGGAAAAAACGAACACAACAAAGTTAGACAGATAAAATGTGATGACTGTGTGTGTTAACTAGATGACACTAAAGTTGAAACTCCTGACTGTTGGTGCCACCCTGATGTAGTTGGACTTGCCTATTGTAACGAACCAATCGAGCTATACTGGATGGAACAATCATTTCTCAAGGTCCTACCAAGTCAGACAAGTCGGTTGGAGAGCGGTAAGACTAAAAGTAGCAAACCCAAGGTCCAAGGCCGAAGTCGTACTGTTGACTGTACACAGATGTGACGGTAGTAAGGTGTTTCAATCAGAAAACCAGCATAATAGCGATGTTGCCTTCCCACAAGGAAGGATGAGGTTAGGAAAAGTCGACCTTAAAAATGCACACCTCACCTTATCCCACGGATTTCCGTTTCCGGCCACATGGTCCCAACAAGTACGGAGCTAACAGGAAAACTACTCACGAAAGGGTCGTGTGTGACCGGCCTTAAGCTGTTGTCTCTTCAGCACTATGGTCACACACTCGGGTCACTAAGACCACCTTCAACCCAACCCGCTTTTTAGGTACCTCTAGAAGAACCTTTCCATGGTGGGGGCAACCGGGGAAGTGGTAATCACCCTCATGCCTCTAACAGTACTTAAGATCACTGTTTGACTGAAGCGAAAACTAGAACACCAACTCACAAGGGGGCAGTTCGTGTACGTGAATGTGCTTTTACTGGTAACACCATGGGAAAATAATCAATCCACTCTACCAAGTACAGTAAACTGTCCTCTTTCTTTTAGACTATATGTTAGGCGTTAACACTTCGTATCTATTTGCTTCTTGTCTACTCATATCCATTTAGTTCTTTTTTATTTACAGTAAGGGAGTTCGAAGTCTAAGAACGAACCGAAATCCTGTACTATATATGTCTTACCAATGAGTGACTAGAACTCCTAACCTAGTGTCTAGTAAATTAAAATTCATATAATACTAGATAAGTATAGAGCCATATCAGTAAATGACTAACACAGACTTCCGACCTCGCACTTGACGATTAACTTTGAATCTGATACTTATATTGGATGTGGAAAAATGGGACGCAAAACACGCACAGCAACCCCATGTCAGTACTTTCATGGAGGCATTAGTACCAATCGAAAGAATCAAACATCACGGATGAAAATTTAGAAAGGAATTAATTGATCGTTTTGTTCATGCCTACGTATTCTACAAAGGCGGATATCGAATACGTAATGAAGTGGATCATCTCCAGTGGTCATCTTTCAGTGAAGTTTAGAGCTGACTTAAGGAAAGATTTCAGTATATTTTAGTAGTTTAAACTAAAATAACACGTGAGATATAATTGTAAGCAATGGACTTGCATCTGTCCTAGGGATTTCATCCAGGTCATCTTGAGTCTCGTAAACCTCTTGATCCAGAAGGTAAGAACTTTCACTTCGAAATCCAAAACAATTCCCCATAATCTTTATGTTAGATTATGCCTGTTGAAATCATGAGCGTAAAAACCTAGGATCAAACAACGCGCAGTGACCTTCAGTCTTCAGTAACAAAGATAGGTCTATCAACCTATATTAGTCCTTGAAGTCTGTAACACTGTGGAGATCCAATCTCGTTTTGAATATAGCAACAAAAGGTGTTGATATTACGTGTTCAGTGCAGTCACGTCCCCGTTTATACCATACTTGGTGCCACGTAGACCGAACACTAGTCCACCGTGGATAAATAAAGAAGTTAAGAAACTCCTTAGGCGTAGAAAAAAATACTGGAACATGTTCATCTCTACTGGCTTAGAACAGTACATATCTAGTTATCGTAAGATTATAAATAATTGTAAAGCGTTAATTAGTAGGACTAGACAGTCATACGAAAAACAATTGGTTAAGGATTGCAAACATAGTCGAAAACGGTTATACTCGTATATAAAGAGGCGAACTCAGATAAGTGATGGAATACCATCACTTTTGACACAAGAAAATCCGTTAAGTTTAGCAAGAAATGATACCGAAAAAGCGGAAGCTTTTTCGAAATATTTCAGTAAAGTTTTTTCTACCAATAATGAGGAACGTTCACCTATTCATTTTGATTGTGGCGACTTGTTGATGGAACCTGTAGTTATTAAGAAAGAAACTGTTTTAAGCCTACTTCAGCATCTCAAACCTGATAAGTCTAGTGGTCCTGATTATATTCATCCTCGGATTATGAAAGCCCTCTCAGATGTCATTGCTGAACCCTTAGCGATGCTGTTCGATATGTCCCTACGGCAGTCCAGATTGCCCAGAGACTGGAAGGACGCAATAATCAGTTCGGTGTATAAGACTGGGGGTAGGGATTTAGTTAGTAACTATCGACCCGTCAGCTTAACTAGTGCAGTTGTAAAACTAATGGAAAAAATTATTAGGATGGCTGTTATAAACTACGTGGAAAGACATGATCTTTTGTCATAGGAACAACATGGTTTTCGAAAAGGTCTATCATGTTTGACAAATCTTCTCATTGCAAGAGAATATTGGGCTGAGGCAAAAGATCGCAATATTCCTGTAGATGTCATTTTCATAGATCTAAGTAAAGCCTTTGATAAGGTTTCCCATTCTGGTCTTAAATTGAAACTAGAAAGTTTTGGAATTCATTATGCAGTCATAGACTGGCTAAGTGACTTTCTTCAAGAAAGGAGACAACGGGTAAGAGTAAATGGGGCTCTCTCATCGTGGGAACCAGTAAAAAGTGGCGTCCCCCAAGGCACGATTTTAGGTCCTCTTCTCTTTTTACTTTATATAAATGAATTACCAGCTATAGCTATGTCATCCGTCCTACTATTCGCCGATGACATTAAGATTTGGAGACCCATATATAGTATGTCAGACAGAATAGTTTTACAGGAAGATCTTAACTCACTAGTTGCATGGATGAATGGGTGGTCAATAGAAGTAAACCCTAATAAAAGTGTTGTAATGCAATTAAATAACTACGATGATTCGTATCACTACACATTATGTGGACTAGTGTTGCCCAAAGAAACTATAAAGATTTAGGAGTCATACTAAGTAATGATCTCAAAACAACCAGTCACTGTAAGGCTGCTGCTGCAAAAGGCTATAGGGCATTATGGTCTATTCGTACATCTTTCCGGTATCTGGATGGGGAAATGTTTAGATTATTATACCCAACTTTCGTACGGCCACATTTGGAATATGGGATTCAAGCAGCGAGTCCTTGTTTCAAATTTGAGGCGGATATGTTGGAACGAGTCCAACGCCGCGGGACAAAATGGTAAAAGGCTTATCTAGCCTATCTTATGAAGACAGACTGAGACACCTCAACTTATTTCCGTTATCTTACCGGCGAATACGGGGTGATCTAATATTGGCATATCGTATCCTGAACGATGACCTTGGTACTAACATGTCCTATCTTTTCCTCCCGTCTAGGGCTGAGCATTTGAGAGGACATTCAAAGAAAGTCCAAAAACCGAGATCAAATCGTCTACGTCTGGAGTTTCGTTTCTCGCACCGAGTAGTGAATTACTGGAATTCTCTACCAGAACACGTAATATCAGCACCTTCTGTTGATATATTCAAGACGAGATTGGACCTCCACAGTGTAACAAACTGCAAGGATTAAAATAGGTCACAAGACCTCCTATCCTTATTACTGAAGACTGAATCCCAGTAATTCACTACTCCGTGCGAGTAATAGTAGACGTAGACGTAGAGGATTTGATCTCAGTTTTTGGACTTTCTTAAAATGTGCTCATTCCTAGACGGAATGAAAAGATAGGACATATTATAATCAAGGTCGTCTTTCAGTTAATATCAGATCATCCTTAATGTGAAATAAGTTAGCGGAAATAAATCTAGGTATCTAAGTCTAGGCTAGATAGAAGTTTTATCATTTTAGTCCTTCATCGCTGAACACGTTCCAGCACGTCCGCTTCATAATTGGAACAAGAACTCGCTGCTTGAATCCCATATTCCAAATGCAGTCTCAAGAAATTTGGGTATAACAATCTAAACATTCCTTCATCCAGATACTGAAAAGACATGCGAATAGCTCATGATACCATATATCCTTTTGCAGCAACAGCCTAACAGTTACTCGTAGTTTTTAGCTCGCTGCTTATTATGACTCCTAAATCTCTATAGCCCACCATTTTGGGTAATAGAAATCCACATATTGTGTAGTGATACAAATCATCATAGTTATTTAATTGCATCACCACATTGTTGTTAGATTTCACTTCTTGTGACCATTCGCCAATCCATTCCACATGTGAGTTCGGATCATCCTTTATTCTATGACCCAGTTTTCCCTTAATAGCCAGTAAATTTTTTAGATAAGGATTTGTGTTTATTGAGAATAGAAGCCCGACGTCCAGTGTTATTCCTTTTCTAGTGAGCTTTTATTTTCTACTGTCAAATGAAGGTGTAGACACCCTTTATCGGGTAGCAAGTTCCAAGAACCTATGGCTCAGTCTGAAATTTGTATACCGTGTATACTTTCTATGTTTTTGAATTCTGAGCTACTTTATTATGTCCTGTGGGCTGTCATGATCAATAAGGAATAAAGATAGAGGATATAGCAGGTCGAAAACCAACTTTAAATGTTCTATACATCAAAATCGGTTCTTCTTTTGAACTGAGGACGGACAGAGTATGAAGGTGTAACTTCTAAAGCCGTCCTGTGTTAGTAAACTTCAGAATTCTGCGATTGAATAGATAGCTGTCCTCTGAATCTTTGCAAGCTCTTCTAGCCAACTTTTAAACGGGAGATTGTAGCCCGAACTCACTTTTTAAGTTTAGATCTGACTAAAGTTGTATAATCGTGGTGAACATACTGCTATCCAATTCGGTAAACGTCCATCTTTAGACTTAAGGATGGAACAGATACTCAGGGTTTGATAACGCTCTTTTCTGTAACACCTTATTAATCTAGAGATATCAACTCAATCTAGTTATAATTCAGGGATGAAAGAGTTCGCAGATGTATCTGTAAGGTTATCAATATGTTGAAAAGTGTTTCATCTACTCTGGCTATTCAGTGTAAAGGATACGTATCTAGGCGTAACCACTCGTAATCTGGTGCGAATGCGTGACCGATCGCCTTCAGCTAGGGTGCGTCCAGTGAAGCTAATGGAGCCAAGATCAACGTCGAACACCAACGGAGATATTTATTTAAGGGAATCATCTACCTATATAGATACATGGGATTGCGAACACCTTATCTGCGACCGCGCGACAGTGTGCTATTGTTTCAAGATCGTGACTCACTATTTTCCCGGATTATTGTGAGACTTCAAAGAGGACATTGACACTCCTCAATCATGTAGCTGATTATGGTCACATTTCCAGTGTGCATATAAACACACTTAATTGTGGTGACAGCCCTCCAATATTTTTAGACTATCTAAACAAGTTGACCTGGAGTGCACATACACTTTCACCCCTCGCTACATCTCATCAACTTCCAACGCTATGAAAATGAAATAGCATCAGGGACTCAACGATACTCATGAGTACATTTACATATGGAACAAAAAGTAAGGGAGCCAGAACAGAGCTTTGCGGTATACCTCCAAGAACTAGTTTTCATTAGAAACATCTGGAATTTCGGCCCGATTACTGCTTATGATCTACCAGAAAAATTTTTGTTCACTCTTTAAAAGGTTCGGTTAATTCTCGGTTTTCCAGCCTCGAAAAAAGTTTGTTATGTAGCACTTTAACAAGTACTTGGTTTATGTCAATTTCCACAACATGCACTTACTTCCCGTTATCACTTGAATCCGTCGATGAATTTCTTGCCGTGAAGAGGTTAGTGGTGCAACATAATCCTTTCCTGAAACCACGTCGTTCACTGCTTGGTAAGTTGCTGGGTTCCATGAAGACCGTGATGATGTAGTATTTACTACAAAAAATTTGAGGCTGGTGTGATCATGGTTTGATGAAAATTTTTTAGTGTGGAAGTTGAGTCCTTACAGTCTATAGGGAACATCTGGTCACGTAGAATCTGGGATAACTTAGTTAGCGGGGTGGTGTAGTGTAATTTGTCTTAAAATGTTTATGTGCAGTTGGCCACATCATGTCGGTTTTTCTGTCCGAAGTGCTTAGTGCCAATAGTATGTCCATAGTGAGTGAGCAGCTGCCTCAACAATTTATATGTCCTTGAGTCGTGTGTCACTTTCTCCACAGCTTGTATGGTTCGGGTGACTTCGAAGTTTAGAATAATGTAGCCCCCTATACAATTTAGTCAGTCAATCTGACAAAGCAAGACCTGAGTTCCCAAGAATATATCAAAACCCGTCATGAAGCATTCTTGAGAAGTTGCTCGTGCAACCTTAGCTAATACCGAATTCCACAACTTAACTGCCGGTAAGAGAAGGTTTTCCTACGATTCAGTTTGCTAAGTTGCATCTTTAACTCCTGGTTGTTATCTCTATGGTTTGTATTGTAACTGGTTACAAGCAGAT